AACTATCAAGTTCTTAACTTTATCATGTTCTTAAGCTTTCTTATTTACAATTTTCCTGTTTTCAATTACATCTTATGTTTCTAAGTTACAAATTTCATTGTTCTCCATTATATCTTATATTTCTAAGTTACAACTTTTGTGTTTTCAATTAAATCTTATGTTTCTTAATTACAACTTTCATGTTCTTAACTATATCATGAGAAAATGTAAAGACTCTCATTGTATTTAAGGCGCTTTTCAATAAATTGCTATCAATCAATTATAACAGGGTTATTTATTTTTATATGCGTATCTATTCATTTTTATATGCGTACCTATTCGTTCTTATATGCGTATTTATTCATTCTTAAATGCATGTTTATTCATTCTTATATTAGAGGTTTTATGGGTAGTTGCGAGTCAACTACCCATAAAACCTCTAATATAACTTTATATAAACAATAAATAGGCTTTTATGTTTTTTATGTAGATATATTCAAAATATAAATTAGTTTGCTGTTAGCTATTTGTTTGGAAAAATGCTTGCGAGCCAGCGCTAGATTTACGTAACTACGCATGTGGTTGTAAAATTGAACTAAATTAAACTCTGTAGTATCCATAATATTTTTAAGTTTTCTGATTACCCCATCCGTATTTCGAGGCCTTTCTACCTGTTTTTAAGTATGCTTTAAAGAAGAAAAAAATTCTTCTATTGGATTGTATGCTGGCAGATACTTAACAGCTATGCCATGAGTGTTTGTCTAACAGAAAGACTCCAGTAGAATTTATAAATGTGCATTCCAAGCAACGGCGCTCTCACATCTGCATTCCTAATCGCTGAGGTCAACATTGTAGTAATAAAGAACAAACCTAATCTGCATTCTAGCCTCCAGTTTTAATTAACAAGCCAGCACTCCATTGTTGAAGCAGCACAAATCAAACTAACATTCTTGCCACAATTTGCAGACGACTGTTGCTGGTGCACCTCTAAGCGAATAACCATATGTGCTGTTGTGCACATTTAATCCAGCTTCATCCAAATAAATAAGTTTTTCATATGAAATTCTGTTAATTTTGCTTGCAAATGCATCATTAACTCGTGTTAGGTTTTGTTCTTCTGGCACATCTTTTTTTTCTTTTTCTTTTTAAAATCCTCTTATTTCTTAATAAATCCAAGCGTTTGAGTTTTCTTCAAATAGTAGGCTACACGGCGATTTTTTTTGCCTTAAAAATTCCCATAGCTTTATTTTGAGAAATACGAAATAGGTCCAAAACGTCCGCAATTTTTTAATTTTGATGAAAAGTTGCAAAGAATTACGATCTTTATCATTGAATTGGGGCTATAGATATATATTTATGTATTTTTGTATAGTATGTATTTTTAAGTGCAAATATATATCGTGTGGTTTTTTATAAAATCTGCTCTTTAAAAGCTATATAGATATTGAAATTCAATTTATTTAAAAAACTAGTACTAAAACAAGAAATAATCAGCTGGATAGACTAAATGACGGTTTCTCTAACTATCAATATTATTACTTATAAAGATAAATTTCAATTAGATCTCAAATTCCAGTTTACAACTATATGTCTAAATTACAGTTAAATAGTAGTTTTAAGCAAAATAGACATAAAAATCACTGTTTTTTAATGAAACACGTATATATTTACGACATCAGTCATCAGAAGGTATATGTTGTAAACTGGAATTTTAGATTATGAAGCCATGTGTGAATTTTTAGATCATAAGATGCATCATGGATGGAGTCTATCCACGAGTTTGAAAGTAAATTAGTTTATCGGTAAAAAGATTGTTCAGAAAGCATTATGAATTTTTTAATAGGTTATTCAGAGAAAATTGGCGCGTAAAAAAAAAAAACTGTTTTCGTAACATCCGTATCCGAAAATTTCGTAATCATAGCAAGTGGGAGAAAATCAATTAAAAAAAAATCGCCGCGCTAAGCCATGTTAAAGCCTGCTTCTTGCGTACAAAGATTGTTTTCTTGTACGCATAATTTAGTAACATTTTTTTATTTGAGCGTTCATAGGTCTTTTCCCTCATTTTTTATAAGAAAACGACTTGAAAGCAGTCATGTCGTTGAATTCTCCTTTGTTTAACTTAACGACAAGAATTTGAACTGTGTGCATAGATAAATTAAGAGAGGTGGAAATACTTGTTGTAGATTCATTTCATTCAACTAAATGCTAAAGCATTTTAATGCGCTCTTTTGTAACATTTTCCCTTGTTTTACGATTGTCACTGCTACTTTTTATTCCATCCATAGGGTAAATATATGTGTATTAATAATAATTATAGATAATTAAATTTAAATCTTGGTAAATGAATAGTTAGATAAATAATATTTAATCAATTAATAAATTTAATAATAAAATTAAACAAAGACCTAATAGTAAATCAAGTAAGAAAAAGAGGGTAGTTTGTACCTTAAATAAACCATCATCGAATGTAAAAATATCAGATAGCCACTCTCATCAGTTTGGTTTATTTTATTTTGTCCTTTGAAATAAGCTTTACAACATAGCAGTATAAAGTTTTGAAAAATTCCGACTGGAGCTGGCAGAAGACATGGTCTTATCATCATGCCCCGTTATTACAAACTTTGATATAATCCTGTACACAATATACACGCATAAACTTTTTTATTTTTTTTTATTTTTTTTAAATTTTTAAAAAAAAAAATTTTTTTAACTTTTTTTTTTTTTTTTACGTCAATATAATAACATAGCTTTGATATCCATACATATTGAAGAAAATACTTATTGAAAAAACAATATTTTCAAGCAATAGCTCCACTCTTCATGCAGAGGTCTTTTTAAGTGAAACAATAAAATATTACAATAATAATAACTCATCAATATATATTTGTAGTTTAGATGCAAATAAGGCTTTCGATAGCTATAACTGGGATTTGTTGTTTGAAAAACTTTATTACAACAAAAAGTTACCGCTATCAGTAATTCGCGTACCATAATCACTATACTTATCAAGTTCTGCTAATATATCGTATCTTGGGTATAAACCACATAATTCCCGTTTTTATTAAGGCGTGCAACAAAGACCAATTTTATTACCACATTTATATAATATATACACTCAAAGTATATTAAATCAAACTGTTTCAGTAACAGTAAGTAGTGTATACACTATCATACGGCTTAGAAATTTGTTGTTTAATAATTCACTTCTTAATAAATTGGACGCTCTTAGAAGGTCAGCATTAAAATTTCTCTTCAATATATCAAAGTACAGCAAAAAACACCTGCAACCCTTTTAAAATTGATGACGTATCTACCATCCTTATTTGAAACAAATTAAATTTGTTTATCAAACTACTGAACAATCCGATCTGTTTTTCCCTGATTTTTACTCAAATATCTGATGTTACTAAAGACAACCTATTTATCAACAAAGTAATAAAAATTTGCAACCAACTTGAGCTAAACATCGTCCAGTGTTTGCTAGAGGGAGAAAATAATAACGATTAGGCGTCGCCACGATAACGTAGGAGAAAATATAGCGGAATTTTGAACTATTTCTTCGAATATCAGAGAACAAAGAATAATATTTACAAATTTGATGGAAGAAAATATTCCAAGAAAAATTTCTATTGACTGAAAGTATAAATTATTAGTTTTATACACTTTGTCTTTTTTTACCTGTAATTTGGGTGATAAAAAGAACAAATATATATATATATATATATATATATATATATATATATATATATATATATATATATATATATATATATATATATATATACATATATATATATATATATATATATATATATATATATATATATATATATATATATATATATATATATATATATATATATATATATATATATATATATATATATATATATATATATAGGAATGAATAAATACGCATACTAGAATGAATAAACACGCGTATAAAAATGAATAGACGCGCATATAAAAAGTATTAACACTGTAGTTTAAACAAGATTTTAAACAATCAAAATTTTCCGTAAAACATCTGGTCTGCAAAATAAACGATTAGATTGAGTAAAAGAAAAGCACCAATAAATCTTACGTGGATGACAAGAAAACTTTTAAAATTTATTCAAAGTGTAGTATGTCTATGTGTAGTATGATTTGGGAGAGAAATATTAAAGTAAAATGGGACACTGGCCGATTTTATCATTATTTTAATTTACTTAATTTTTACGATTACTTTTTTGGTAGAAAAGGAAAGAGAAAAGGCAAAAGCTAAATGTTTATGATAAGATTTAATGGTTTTCAAATTTTATAGTTTTTGTGGAAGATATAAAACGCTGCAGGCTAACAAAAAGAGTTTCTGCATTGTTTGGAAAACCTTACTATAAGCCAGCTTTAATACCATTATAGTGAGTTTTAGAGCTTCATTTGAAGATAAAAAAAAAAGAGTTGCATAACCAGTATCAAGGCGACGCGAACAAAATTCCATAAATAGAGTCATAAAGATCTAGCTTTAATCATTTTAGGCAAGAAACAATGTAACACAGGCTGACACATACGCCAGTCCAATAGATGAAAAAAGAGTTGGAGTCTAATCAATATAATTTTGCGTTTACGTTAAACACTTTTATGTGTTTACATAAAAGTCTTTGCTTAGGAGGAATTTTATTAAACAGTAGCCAGATGCCGTTAACATCTGTTTTTATCAAGACACCATATCTAGTGCAGGTTGCACTGGATTAAATTTTACCGGTAGCAGAGTGATCATGACTATTCTGAACCTGTTTAGTCTGAAAGAATCTAAAAAAAAACTGGTTGCTTGGTAAACAAAGATAATTTTTTTTATATAAAAACTAGCAGTTATTATTATAACTGCTAGGTTTTTTATATTATTTAAATATATAATTAGTAATTTAATAAAAACAAAATTAGTTTGATTTCAAACCCAATTCGGTTTCTTTGCATTAAAGTGCAACATTCAACTTTTAGAAAAACGTTAAAAGCGTACACAATAATGTCAATCAATAAATTAA